AGGTAGCTCTGTTTTGGAAGTTCAGTTAAAGCTAGAAATGTGTTTTGGAGTTTGTACGTGCTTTTTGGAGTTTGTACGTATTTTGTCTTTAGGGGCCACCACATATATTTATATATAAATAAAACCACTTTTTTTTTTTACATTAGTAGTTCCTTTTGTGCATAATTTTATATTATTGTTAATAATAAATTAATTAAGGCAACAAAACAACCTGAAGAGCCGGTTCGGAGCCAAAAGAGCCGACTCTTTTTAGTGACTCGAACCGAAAGATCCGGTTCTCTAAAAAGAGCCGGAAATCCCATCACTATATGTGTTTGTGTGTGTATGGATAATAGCAAACACGGAAATACATTTTTTGCTCGCAGCAATGAATTTTTTTCACTCAGATTTAGCTTTTCTTTGCTCAAAATAAATTTCTCCTCAAAATACAACATTTGCACCTGCAAGCTTTTTTTTTTTTTTTTACGTGCGCTCATTTTTTTTTATGTGCGCTCAGAATAGTGGCACAGAAATAACGCCATAAAATACAACGAAGTCACTAATGTGTGTATGGTACAAATGCTAGGACACAAGAAGCGCTATTTAGTCTCCTCGAATAGAAGATAAACACTATTAGTGGTCGAATTAGAATATTTGTATTAATTCAAACATCAGCTCAAAGCCACTATTAACCATTCCGCAGGTAACTCACTCGAGGGTGAAATGTGGCCAGTATGTTCCCCGTTTGTGCCCACCAGTCGAGAAATAGAGTTTGAATCCGTGCATCGGCAAGTGCACTCTGAGCTTTCTCCTCTGCTGCTCTTTTTCTACGTGATTTTGTTGTCTGGGCGTGACCAAGTCATTGTCACGGTTTGCAAACAGAAAAACACGCAAAAATAAACCAGACCGGAGAGGTGGTTCGTTTGTGTACTGAAAGAGAAATCATTTCCTTACTTGGTACTAAAACCGTTTTTCTGGAAATAGAATTACGACTTTGTTTTTCCTCACGTGGCCCTATACGCCTTTATTAGAAAGAAAAAGAACCCAATTAAAAAGAAAAAAGTGAACATAAATATCTAAAGAAAGTAGCAATCTAAATGAAATAGTAGTAATACTGTAAATGTTTATGAGCTTCTTAAATCTTGCTCCTCAAATACTATCCGCATGTTTTTTTTTTCTTTTTTACTCGACTTTTGGCGTTGCCTGATCTCAAAATCATTCCTTACCTTGTTTGTTCTCCTTGTATTTCCTCCTTGGCAGTGTGATTTTGGCCATTTCCTAATTCTTGGACCTGCGCCCAGAGTCAGCCCCGTGCTTCTATACAACTGTCACTCCCCCTTCCGCATTTGTTTTTTATTTTTTTGGTGGGCAGTAGGTCCTTTCTGTTCCTTTCCTCATATCAGGATTTTGCGCTACCTACAGCTCATTTTCTTATCAGTTCAGTAAAATTATGTTATTTTAATATCTGCTTGTGTGACTGTATCTGTATTTATTGAACAAGTTCACCTTAAATTCCTAATGGAAACAATTCAGGTGAAGGAAAGAGTTAAAAAATTAAAGCTTTTACTTTAGCAACATTATTTGTAAATCTGTATTTTTGAAAGTTTTTCATTTCAACGTGAACACACAACACATCACACCTTGAAACAGATGAGCTAACAGCAACAGAAAACCACACCAGGTTCCACACAACTGCAGCAGCAACTCTGTCATGCTTTAAATCTGCTTTCTATTAATTTCTCTTGTTTTTTTTTTTATTATTATTTTTTTAATTAATTGTTGGCTGTTGTGAAGCACTGATTTTATATCTTAAATTGTACTATACAAATAAAGTTTACTTAATTACTATCATGTCCAGTCATAATATCACATGCACCAGATTCACTGAGAAATGATTCCCTGTTGAGTCTACCATGAGAATGAAAGCAACTCTGAGGGTGACCGGGAGTTCAACCCAGCACTAGCAAGTTAAACGCCAACATGGGGAATAAAACTTCTACTTGTGTTATCAAGCTTCATGCAACACATTGTAACATAACAGCAAAATGTTGGTGATGGTTTAAAAGCATTCATAGTTGCAGAGCTACGTTGAGGATGAAATATGTGAACTGACAGCTATAGTTGTAGTGATAATGAAAGTTACATAACTGCTGTCATTAGAATTAATTCTACTGGTTGATTACCACCAGTAGAGGTCCCCACAGAGATAAAATTACCTACTTGCTAGAATTGGTTGTTCTTTCATCACAAGGGATGATAACACTTTATCACAGCCACATTTAAAGATGGTCCATCTGTAAATCATTCAGCCAACCTTTCCACTGTTTCAACCTGCTTTCTAGTATTACTTCATCCCATCCAAATTTTGTTTTGCAAAGCTCTTTCTTTAATTTTGTCAGGCAGCAGAACTGACCACTTTGTCAACGTAAATCCTCCTTTATCCCAAGAAAGTAGTAATTTAAGGTCTTTTGTCCCTATTACAACAAAGATGATCACTAACTCTGTCAATGCACCACTTTTGGGAGGATTCCAGACTGCTAAGCTCAGCAACAGAAATCCTGGTCAAGCCCACAGATTACAGACAAGTCAGACTCAAAATTTATGCAGCACTTGAAAATGAGTTGTAGCATAGCTTGGCCTGACTGACCATTGGGGTCTAGCTGCCATTAAGACCCGTCTGGGATGGGTGCAAAAATGGCCAACTCAGTTGATGTAAATCATCTGCCATTGCAACAATGTTTCCTCTCCCTCAGCCCTGTGGAGTTGGATCTTAAGTGGGATGGTCATGGCAGCTTAATGTTTTACCTTACCGCTGTGAGAACCAGTAACTAGAATCTGAGCGGATCAAGAAGCCATCAGCCTTCAGATACTTTGCCATGATTAGCACAGGTATAAAGTTATATATAATGCTAATATATATATAATATATTATATATAATATATATAAACCTTTATCATGGCAGAAATTTTGAACAGTCATAGCAGGACATCCACAGATGTAATACATAAACTCAACAAGGGCAAAGTTCCCATTAAAGATTTACGAGCCCCTGCTACCTCATTATGCAAACACTTCTAGTTGTGTCCACTGTTGCGGTGCAGGAAGCCACTGCAGTAGTCTACTGAGCGTTAGGTGTTGCCACTCAGACAATACCACAACGGCAGCACTGATATAGGAAGAGAAGAAGTCAAAACCAGAAGATAAGACTTTGGCAAGTGTTTTTTTTTTGTTGCAAAGTTATTCCAGAAAGTCACTTTTTAAAAAAAAAAAAAGATTGCTGCAATATCTCCCTCTGTATATCTATATAGCTCAGGGCTTCTGTACTAGAATATGATTAAAATGGTGATGCAATCATATACTCATGTCATCAACCCAACTGGGGCAGCCATTGCACAATGGTCCAGGTTGCAAAAATCACTATCAAAATGACAGCACACACCACAAATTGCAGCATCATTTTTAGCACACACCACCATCTGACAGGGGCAGGCATTGAGAATAAAAATGGCTTAATTTTTACTGACATACTTTATTCCTTAAATTTGGAGCACTATATGGTTTAAGAGCTCAGTTACACATTACAGTGTAACCTCGGATTCAGAGTAACTTGACATACGAGTAATCTGCAAGACGAGCAAAAAACTTGAATAAAATTTTACTTGGTTTATGAGCCATAATCTTTATATGAGCAAACTTATGGTTGTATACGTATGTTTTCCAGTAACAGCTGAGCCGACCTGAGTGTCATGCCGCATGAGCTCATGAGGAGCTAGCATCTGTTAAGCGTATTGTTTACATTGACCTCCTCATCTCATTTCCCTCAGGTCAGCAGTGACTTTTCTCAAAGGTAAAGTGCGTTTTTATTTTTATTATATGCATTTTGTGTTAATCATTGTGCATTTATTGCAGAAATATGTATTTGGGTCAATGATTTTTATAGAAAATATGTTTAAAAGTGATTTTTACATGAATATTTTTGGAGCTTGGAACCATCCATCCAAGTTTCCAATATTTCTTTTTTGAAAATTTGCTTTGACATATGAGTATTTATGGTTTGCAAGCAGCATTAAGGAACGAATCATACTCGTAAGCCAAGGTATTACTGTAACTGCAAGTATTCCCTTCTATAACTGCTGCCAATCAAGAAGGGAAGCCTGTACGGAGCCTGAAAGGTGAAAAGTAAATAAATCTTTTTTTAATGTTCAAACTTCCTTTTTCTTTTTTTAATTGCTTTATGAACAAAAAACTGAAGGGGAACCTTCCTTTGTTTTCAAAGAAGATAATATCATTAACAAATCTACTAAAATGTGTATATTTAAAAAAGCAAATATGTACTATTGAAGGCAATGAGAAAATTAAATTTCTTACTGTCATATAGGCCTCCAGATTGTGAAAGAAATATACACCCTAAATAACAGATGCCAAAAGTGCCACCTTTTCAGTACTGTACTGTGAGCCACTCCTCATTTCTTTATCTTTTCCTTCCAGTCTGCAATGCTGAGCAGGTTACATAGTTTTGCAGAGCAAGCAACATTATGAAAGTGTGCACATGAGCAATTTTTGGATTACATCCTGCTGGTAATGGCATGGAAAAAAGAAAAAACACCCCATGACACAGAATCTCTTTATTTTCTTTTACAACCTGGTGAGTTTCCAGGAAGGCCAGTTATACTGAACCTTTGTTGTGTTATTGTGGAGTTTTAAACTTACAATATCATATACTAATATACTATTTTATATTTTCAGTATACAATAGTACATTAGAAAAATAAAGCACGTATACATTGTTTTCTTTCTGCTTAAGCCATGCCGTCAAAAACTATCTGCTCAAACCTGCAGATTACGGAGGAATTACCTAATGTTTTTGTGTGTAAGGTAGGAAAGGACCCTAGACTAGTGCTTTGAAATTAAAAATCAATCATAAGCATATATTAGACTTACACTTAGTGGTGCAAATGCAAAAAAACATAAAAAAAAACCACCAAATGTTTATAAGAATAACAAAAACAGTTTCTTCAACTAGATGATTTCCTATGCACAGTTCAAGGTTTTGTTAAAAAAAAAATCACAGTTTCTGCGTGTGCGTGTTTGCATTCTGTTTTTTAAATTATTATTTTTAAATGTCTAATATCTTTGCCTCTATCAGTACATAGGCTATAGTCAACAGGATTTATTGAGGGGTTATATGCAAGGGTGGCAAAAGTACCGACTTTCGTTTCTTAAATAGAAGCTGTGAGTTCTTTTCGCCAAGCTGAGCCACTACAACTGATCACAGAGTTCCCACACATGCCAAATCTCACTTCAACCCTGACTCTACTCAATATCCTGCTGGAAAAAAACGAATCAGTGGGAAAAACGAGTTCGCAAAATCGCACAAAACGTTGTGGAGAAGTGGGCTTTTTTTGGTTTTATTTGTTTGTTTGTTTTGCGTTGTGCAGTATAGACGCACTCGCCTCTGATCGTGGTCTAAGCTTTATCGCGCAATGCCAACTACACACAGCTAACTGCGACGTAGTATTAGGGGCACATTAAGAAAACATATTGCTGATCATTTTCAGAAAAAAGTCGAAAACTTATTTCGGAAAAAAAAGTCGAAATCTGTCAGTTACAGGCCATTTCCTTTGGGCAAAACCAACACCAAAATTTGGGGGTTTTTCCCCGGCCAAAAAAAACCGTCCGCAACAATAACAAAACGGGGTTAAGGGCCGAAAAAAAAAAAACTCCCCGGCCCTTTTAACAAAAACGAATCCGAAGGAACAATCCAAAAAACCAAAAACCCCAATTCCAACCGTTTTCCCAAAAAAAAAATAACAACTTAAACCCCAAAACCGTCAACCATTTTTTTCTCAAAATGGCGCTAAAACACCCCCACAAAACGAAAACCCCCCCCCCGGGGGAAAAAGAGATAAAAAAGACAACAACACAGAACAGAAAAAGTAAAAACAACAACACACACACATTCTCCCCAGCATACCCATAACAGGGGCACAGGTGCGCGAGAGCATACACCCGCTCGCAGAGCGAGAACACCACAAAACTGGTAGGCTAATGCATGTCTTTGGACTGTGGCAGGAAGCTCTAGAAACCGGAGAGAGCCCACGCAAATACGAGTAAAACCCGCAAGCTCCACCATCAAGCCAAACTCTGAAGAAGAAAAAGTCGAACTGCATGCTGTGAAGCAACAGTGTTGCCTCATCCACAAGAAATCATTTAACGTTGTCTGATTGAAAAAC